AGTAAATTTATTTTATCTTTGTTGTCTTTTTATATTCTCATGCAAACATTTATGCATTTAACTAATGTGGTTTCTTTAGGATCGTTAAGCAAAAGCTATGCGTAGTCATCAGCCTGTGTCACTAGGCACGAATGTACACTGCACCACCAAACTGTCACAACATTGGCTACGAGCATGACGAAACCGATGAAGGCCTTAGTTTGATCGACAACCCTCTACACTGGCCTCTTGCACCTCAATTATCTTTATTATTGTCATTCCCACATTTTATTTAGAGCACAATTTATCCACCGGCTTCCGGAAAGGCCCTTGCACCAATGATTCATTGAAAGGTCACACCCAAATTCTATTAAATACCCGCTAGTCTACCGTCTTCATCTCAATACCCTTACTATTTAATAATTTTAAATTACCAGAAGTTACAAAATCTATCCTAATCCAAACGAGAAACTTTTAGCCAAATTCACACAACCAGTCAGATTTTGAATGCATTTTGCACTTTGACAAGTATTCTCCCCTCATATTAAAATGTTGCGTTTCCCAATATTTAGACCGGAAGTGAAATTAATTAAAAAACACAGCCATTAATGTAACATTTGAACGCGGTCTGGGTAGAAATGTTGCGAAAATAACCACGCAAAAATTTAAAAAATTTTCGTGGGTTCACCAATTCACTGGGAAACATTTTAAAGCGATCAAGGCTACCTGTGCTTTGTAAAAAATCGATATTGATCGATTTTCTGGTGAATCAGCGTCTTGTTTTGTGGTGCGCGAAAATCAAGATTGGCTGGGTTAAAGCAAAACGTACGCGATTCTATTGTTATTTTTTTTCTTTGCGATGACTTTCACTAGCTTAGAGACACTTAATTAAATTTCGTGTTTGTTGTTAGAGGCGTGTTAAGAAAGTTCTTTTTCCCAGCATTACTAGAATCTTGAGAAATTTAAGAGAATAATCCACAACCTTGTAAACGCTTTTCGTGGGGGGATTTTCTTCTTAAAAGCACCCTACCGAGTTCACACGACATCCCAACAAACACTTCATGATCGAACAATTCCAACGGGCATCTGCTTTGAAGTCGATTTAAGTTCGAAACGTTCTTTTAAAAAGCATTGTGTTTTACACGATGAAGTACATTGAACAGGTTTCTTTTCAAAGAAAATTGCTACCAAATCCTGACCTCTTCGACAGATGCTTTGCGCCGCAAAGTATTTTGCAAACAACGAAACAGATGAAGATCCGAAGGCTGAAGTTCAGGGAAATGCGGTGAGTGCTGCTTAAGAATTTCCCACTTCAACTCCCTACGTCTTTGCATTGTCAGTTGGGAGACGTGTGGTCAAGCGTTGTCATACTGGAAGATGATATCTTATTGACTGACCAAATTTGGGTATCTTGAGTGAACTTTAACATTGGGTTGGGTACGATGTCTGGCCACGTGGAGGAAGTTTGAACAAAATTATTCCAATGCGATTCGATCGCCAGACACAATCACATTCTCACTGGAAGAGGCAATTCATTCGTCGATGAAGGTTATGCTCTTCTAGCTTCATTCTTTTATGTTCTACACTAACCACTTTTTATCTCAAATCGTGACCTGGCCAAATAAGGGTTAGTTATTTTAGCGGATGAGGAGAGAAGTATATATGAAAACACGCGCCAGTTTGTTCCATTTTGTTGTACGCGTTCGTCTAATTGCCATCATTTTGCCACTCGATAATCTCGTCAGTGGAAATCTGTGGATTGCCCGTCACAAATAAGTTCATTGCCATTAAATTCACCAACTTGAATTCGACTAAATCACAGTTTAACTGTCCTCAGAGTAGACGCAAGATCAAAAAAAGCAATTTCAACCCTTGCACCTTTTGTAGACACAAGCAGCATAACATAGCAACCTGAATTGGTAGCTACTGGCGGAGTGAACGGACTATAAATAGCAACCCCTATAAGAAGAGCAAAAAAGATTTTTATAAGTGCGATGAAGGCAGCGAATCGAGTTTCTGATTTACGACCAGGGACTGTCAATTAGGCTTTACACGAAAGCTCAATTTCAAGGTCAAGGAGTAGATAAATAAACGGAAAAATTTGTCGCATCCGAAACCGTATTGCCGCCAAATGCGCAAAACGACTAATTAGCGATTCAGGCGCAGAAAAGGCGAATTGAGAAGGAATCTCACCTTTCTTCGTCGGTTTTCTTAGGGAAAAATTTAAGGGAAACTGTATTTACTCATCGCAAAATTCCATTTTAAGATGAAATAACTGGTATTAATAAATTTACTTTGCTCAATCGCAGACCGCGTTTGGTGGAGACCCATGATGCTTCACGTGGACGCAAAACGATTGGTTAGCCGGGAATGCAGCTGCATTTAAACACCGCCGAAAAAGCACGCATGTTTCCTTGTAAGCAAGTTCTTGAAATGACTTAGAAAGCCCCCTTCATGGTCCTCACTGTCCACGACATTTTCGCGTTGTCAGGCTTGTGCAAGTGAGCGTGAAAACGGGGTAAGCAACGAATGTACTTTTAGGCAATTACGCAACTCTCCTTAAGGTCTTTCTGTGTAATCACGTGGTCACGAGCGTCAGACAATTGACTAGGCACCACCAGACAATCTTTGATTGAAAAGAGTCCTAAAATGACTTTTAAAACGGTAAAGAGGCCATGTAGTGAGCGTCACACTGGAGACAGGTTGTCATGTGATTCAACTGAGGATGCGGTTGTCGCAAGGAAACGGCTTTTGGATGTTGAAACGGCATTCAAGTAGACTACTCAGACTGCCTAACGCCGTCATTCGAGTTGACAGCTAGAGGCATACTCCCTACTGTTTTACTAAATTGCACAGAGGAATACCTCGGAAAATGCATCATCATTCAAATCTACAGTGCACAAATCTCTTGCCGACAACGAGAACTCATCCTGTGTCTTTTCGGCTGAATCTCGGGAGACAAATTAATGCGCATTCAGTGGGTAATCGATGTACGGAATCGAGGCATCATCGTGAGTTCGCCGGCCTCGTCATAAGAAACACCACCGCACAGCTGTCACCGCACGCCGTAATGCACGCTTACGAGTCTAACGCGAAAATGACCACGTCGAATTGGTGCAACAAACACCAAACAAGGCACAAGGTCAGTTCGCTCAAGTATTTTTCCAATCATTCGTCGAATGTTAAATTCAATGAAGTATGCTGTGGATACTGCTTGCCTTATGACACTTCTGGTTCCGGACCTACCGCTGATATCTATCAGAAATTGCGATGTCTTTTGCCAGGCACATTTCATGTTGTCGGTGATTCTGAAGACACCGACGAATATTCTACGCAGATCTGACTGCCGATGAGTGTAGGTCGAAATGATTCGGAAGTAAAGGCGTTCTCCTCCAATAGAATTGCGACAACACAGACCACTCCCCAGACAAGTTGAGCAATTCGCTGAAAAACGATGTGGTCGGTGTTGAATGTGTTCAATCAGACAACTGACAAGAGTTGAGAAGCCGCGTAATCAGGAGAATTTCAGGAGCTAGACGGAGTCAGTGAACAATCGATACTCTGTAGCCTAGTTGTTCGACGGTTCTTTTGAGGATGTCGTTGCCACAAGGAGAATCATCCCAACGAGGTGTCTACTAAACCACTGGACAATCTTTGTCTCCTCGGATGAATCTCGGGAGGGTAATCATTGTACGGAATCGACTCATCATCGTGAGTTCGCCAGCCTCGTTATAAGAAACACCAGAGCGGTGTAGAACTGATCACTCGTGCTGTCACCGCACGCCATTCAGTGGGTAATCGATGTACGGAATCGAGGCATCATCGTGAGTTCGCCGGCCTCGTCATAAGAAACACCACCGCACCGCTGTCATTGCACGCCGTAATGCACGCTTACGAGTCTAGCGCCAACACGACCACGTCGAATTGGTGCAACCAACACCAAACAAGGCACATTTAACTTCCACACTGGAGTTTGCCGAATACGATGGCACACACCACGTGATCAATGGGTGCATCGATGTACGACGGTGAACAAGCCTTCGAAGTGGCAAATTTCCATTGTCAGATACCGGTAAATCGGCGTTATTCGATTCCGTTGTGTTAGTTACTGGTGTCATGCCGGTACACTGTGCCTCGCGACTCTCCCAGTCCACAAATCAGCAAACACAATGTGGAACTGGAGCATACGGCGTGACGACGAGTGAGGACGCATCTTCACCAGTCCGGTTTTGCATAAAGCGTGTTCCCCGTTGAGAGTAAATGGAGCACGTGTGTTCAGCACACACACGCATTCACCCAATTGTGAAGCAGTCGATGTGGTGGGAAGAGACAGACAACCCAGGAGCCACCTCAACCAATGGCCTTGTCAGTCCGTCGTCATTCCATATCATGGCGACTGCACTGAACTATTCCTACAAGTTGCATCTTGCTGTGGATGCTCAAATGACTTGGTCACATCCACGTTTCTTGATTCCACGATCACAGCACGTTTTCACACTCTTCTGTGATCAAGTGTTCACGCGCGTGCATGTCGTGTGGTGAGCTCTTAGTAAGTGCACGATGCTGTCTGGTAAATGGGTAATTTTGGGAGTGTCCCAAGTGTTTTCACTTCCTGAAAGTCACTTGATTCGGTGTTGGACCCACATGATCATCCGAGCTAACTAACCCTCGTCATCTGCGTGGGCGGTCGCCGGTGCTCGCCCATGCACGAGTCTACTTTACCCACCATTCCAATCACATCTACACAACCTAACTCCAATGAGTCAATCCGCATCGTATTACGCACCTGAGATCACAGTGAACACACAATTAAACCTGCTTAATCCACGAACTCTTTGTGTGTATTATCCAAACACCAGCCGTAACTTTCTTTCGCCAAAACTAAAAGTCGACTGCTAATTTATTTAAGACCGCCTACTGGTGACTGTAAATAGACTGCCGATTTCCCCTCTGTTTTCATCACAAGTACAAAACGACGTGATCCGAGTGTGAAGAAGCGTCTAGTCAGCATTCATCTCCCGATGATAAGCGATCAAACAAAACACCGTGACCCACCCCCACCCTGCAACTTGGTCCGCCTCAAGACACCTGTCGTCTTTCGCAATTATCATCACAGTGCTGCCACTTCCACAGCCTCCAGTGATCCGCCTGTCCCCGCCACATCCTCTCCACCTCCTCCGACCCATCTTGGAGTAATGAGCAGCACATTTAAATTACACGCATTCCCACCCAACCCAGACCAACCCCTCGTTCACATGTCCCAAATTTCGCCCAGGCAAAGTGTGATTTGGCAATTTTATCAGCTAACGTTTTTACAATTTGGTGACACAAGAGCTTCGGTTTGCGCAGCCGAACATAAACTCTAAAATCACATGCAAGAACACATCTTCAGCGTTTTCGGCTAAATCACAGCGCCTCCACCCCGTCCAGTAGATCACGCCGCGTTTGTCTTCTTCTTCGGCGGTGGTCGTTTCGCCTGCACAACGGAACGAGGAATGAAGCGCGTCAAATCGCTCGGTATCGCGGCGGAACTTGTCTCCGCGGTATCGCGAGGGCGCTTTGAAGTCGAGGGAGACTGTGGATCGGGTTCTGACGGCATCGATCGAAACATCATGGCCTGTTGGACAGCAATTGGGATCCTAAAACGGTCAGAACACATTTGAAGAGCAGCTTTGCGGGGGAAAATTAGTGATTTTGAGGCAAAAGGAGACATTGGCAGGAAGCGATGAGTAGGTGTTTGGTATAACCCCTGCCCCTCCCAGCACAACGTCGCGAATGCAAAACTACTTCCGTGGTATGGACTCTGGGATAAGTTGGTGTTTTTGCTACCTGACGGATACAACAACTGTCACACCAGCTGTCGAGGGGTTTTGAGGCAGAATTGAAAACACATTGAATTCGAGGCATTGTGCGTGCGTGTGTGTGTGATATTTAAAAAAAAGAGGAATATTTTGTCGGCAGAAGAACAACCAACTGTTGACGCCCTTGCCTGCCTGCCTGGCATGAAAAAAAAACCGCATTACACGAAACGTAGCTTTTTCCTTGTTGGTAAAAGTCCACACATTGCCTGACCAAGCTGCCCACTACACGCTCTGTTGAACAGCCAAATCAAAGTCACCTCTGCCGAATCTGCCGGTGCGTGAGGAAGCTGGAGAATGAAGCAATAGTCGGTGGGCAGCACCAGCACCATCAAATCGGGGAGCAGCGACTGTTGAAAGCAGGCGATTCGAGGCCCAAACAGTCATTTGCACGAGTTGAAGCCGTGTTGGTAATTGGGCACGATTTTCTGCCAACAAAATGGCCCCATGCTGCGGAAGTGACCCGCTTTGCATTGCTCCACCCTCCCCCCTCTGATCCCGGACTTCCGGAGGGGTAAGTCCAAGCGCCATTTCCGCTCTTCTCCCACCACATCCGACCCCCCCCCCTAGGGGACTGCAGTTTTCGCGCGAGGCAGGGGGAGGGAAGGGGTGAAGATGGTCGATAACCACACACAAACACACAGGCAATTTCAGCAATTTGTGACAGAACAGAAAAGTCGGATTTCAACGTCGTCGTCGTCGTCATCGTCATCGCCATCAAATGCCCGGAGCCCCGAAACGAAGAATCCAGAATAATGTGTTGTGGGCCCCAGCATGTGGTCCTGAACCACGCCGGGACCCTTGAATTAACCCTGGCCCGATTACGTTTCCCTGATATCCGCGATGAAGAAAAAGATCGGAGAGGACGTGGACACAACCGTTTACTTCAGGCCTCAAACGCGCTGGTGTCGTGTGTGGGGTTTTCACGTGTGTATTTATACCTCAGATGTGTGAGTTATCCATGCGCTGACAATCGTCGTGCGTCTAGTCTCTATGGCGTAGCAACCGAAACGCCTGCAATCAGTGGCTGTAGACTTCGAAGACGAAAACAACACCAGGAGGGCGCGGTGCAGCACCTCCGGGAAATCGATCTGGAATGACACCGACGGAGGGTCGCTTGTGTGTGCGCAGCACGACGGCGCCGTTGACGTCTGGAATCTGCTGATAGCTAGTGATGTTGAAGGTGCCTGTTCTACACAACCGCAGAACTGCCCTACCTGAGCTGTGGTTTTTCGCATTAAACGCAAAATTTCCACAAACATTAAAGCGAATTGACTGATTCTCGCTACTGGATTTCGTGAAAGTACGCTCGATGCGTACTTCGTGTTCGCTCTCACTTGCACAAGCCCGAGGCTGCCAAAACTTCCCAGATAGTGTGGACCATAACAAGGGAGTTTGTGAGTTAGTTCCAAGGACTTCCTCACAAGGAGGCATGCCAGCTTTTTCGACGTAGCTTCATTCGCAGCTAACCGGTCATTTTGCGTACACGCAAAAGAAAATATCACGCAGGCTGGGACAGGGTAGCGATTAAAGTTATGTGATGGGAAGAAAATTACAAATCCACATTGGCCAAACCGAACGTTTCAAGTCCGCGAGACTCCAGACCGCGTTGCTATCAATGCACCCTGTAAACCTCACAGACACCAACGCGTCGCGTTAGTAACCGTCTAGACACACATTAATCAGAGACAGGAGCATTAAACTCAGACAAATGCTGCAACGATGAGGCAAAAAACGGCCAGATAATTTGAAAAAATGCATGAACAGGGGTGACACAAATCTACGTGCCCCTTCGACCCTATCCTGACGGGTTGAACGACACACCTCACGGAAAGAGGAGCGGAAAATTCCAATGGGGAAGACAGTCAACACACTCAGTTATGCGGCGGTTTAGAGCAGACTCCTTCAACGACACCGTTTGTGGCAGCAGATTTATGACGTCAACAATGCAGGAAAATCGGACACACACCGACACAAGCTACGACCTCCCACTCGGCGTCATTCCAGATCGATATTTTGGATAGTCTTGTGTTGATTCGAACTGCAGGCGGTGGACATGGCTACGCCGAACACATTCCAACAACCAATCAAACGCTGTCTCTCAGAACATTTGAGCACTCCAGTTGGACAAACGTGATTGGCTACGAGCGGATTTAGCCAAACCAACAAAGAGAGCACCAGACACATCGGTAAATTTGCCGAAAAAAACACAGACGTCGCTTGCTGTCTCATCTCCTGGTTTGTATTTGAACGAGCCGATGATTCAACATGACCTTGAAGAGGCCAATAAAATCCTCCCCCCGAACAGCTGCACCGATTTGTCATGTTTTTTTCCGGACCACATTGACTGGAAGTCGTAAGGAGTTGAAAAAAAATGCATATTCACTTGAATGGGTTTATGCCGTAGCCGCGGGTACAGCATGACGCCTCTGAGTAGTTGCCATCCCAATCGTCGGTGAGGCAACAAATACGGAATGTGGAGTTGTTTGAAGTGACTTGGAGCGGATATTTCCTCCTAGATGCTTTGACTCGCTCCAACACCCACCCCCTCCCCTCAAATCACGAATGCGAAAGTAAAATAAATCTTGTTTAAATTAACCATCTTTGTGTGAGTGTGGGAACACGCAGTTAGCGTGGAGGATTGTGGAAAAGTGAGATACGGAAAGAGCGACAGAGAGAGCGAGCGAGCGAGCGAGCGAGGGTGTTTCGAAGGGGTCGCTGGGGTGGTGGGATAATTCTGACAAATTGACGCTTTGAAAGATTCAAAAAAGGGGCGCGTGCACTAGCGCTTCCAGTGCCTTTGCGTTGTTCTGAGAAATTCCTGCGAAATTGTGATAAACTAAAGCGGTATGGAATTAAACGGGATCCAGTAGGATTCTGCGTTTCGTCGCCGTATTTCTTGTGATTGGTGGAATTTCACAGGTGCTTTAGATATCAAGGCACCAGCTTCAACGCCATCACAGACCCCTCTTGGTGTTTGCTTGCCAAAGACCCCGTTGTCAATGGCAACAAGAAATGCCGCCATTGCGTGGCATACAAGTGATAGAAGCACACGATCTGGTCGTGAAGGTGACCTCATCACGGGACTGCCTGGACCACTACGTCGAGACGACACCGGGAGGTGAGAGGCCGTCGCGTGCAGCCGTGGGGACAGTGTACCTGATTCACACGACCTTGAAGTAAAATCGTGATGAGTCACGTCCGGCAAACACTCCCAGACACACGGACCACCGCCAGGTGTGGCGATGGTGCGGCCCTCCCCTGCCACTCACTCCAGTTCCCCTCCGAACTCCATTGGTCAACAACCCTCGTTTGTCATGCCTGTCGTGGGTGGACTGTAGACCGCGCGACCTTGAACGTCCACACACACAACAAGTGAAGCCTCTCGTATAAGAGAAAAAAGAGGGGGGTGGTACAACTGACCGGTGGGAGGGAAGGTTGCAAATGTCACTGCACCCCAGGACAAGACCGTCCGGATAAGAAAAATCGATTCGATTTGATGGTGCAGAGCGAGGCACAAGCTCGTCTCCTCACTGCTCCAATTAAACGAGGAATCGGAGGCAGCGACTGGGTTGAAGATTAAATAACTACTAGGTGTGAAAAACTAGCCAATCAGGCAAGCGGTTGTTTGCCGTCCTCAAACACGAGGTGGAAGGTGAGTCATCACCCTCGTGGAGACTTTCTATTGGGCAGAAAAGAGGGGCCCAATCAGCATCTGGCAAATCCACAGATTTATCGAGTTAAGGGGAGATGCACAGCCACGTAAACTTGCACACAACACCAGAAAAAAAACGCAAATTTGGTGTAGCCAAAAAAAGACCTCCAATGGAGGATAACACATAGCAGGCTAAATGTAACATTGTGTAAAACAAGCACAAGATTGAAGAGCCGAAGATTGTGGCTTTACTGGTCAAAAATAGCGGGAATGTGGCTGCACACAGACAAAATGTCCCCTCTCATCACTTGTATCAAAACCAGACGGTATGAGGCTGTGATTATTAAAGCGTTAAAGCCGGCAAGGTATCTGGTGGCATAAAGAAGCACAGGACGATAATTTGTAGGGGAAGGATGTTATAGCAGCGGCAGATGGTGTTTACGACGAGGTGGGGGAGAGGCAGCATCGCAAAAAAAGGCGGAATTGGGTGACGTCATGCAATTAATCACACCTGGGAACGCGTCAGTCGCAAAGTTGTGTTTGAAATGGAAAACACACACGCGCACAACCGCGTCTCATGATCTCGCTGACACAGCAGTCGAAATGCTTGAAGTCAGGGGCTTCTGTCTACCGCAGATACGGTCATGCAAGCACCTCTAGATTATCGATCTGGAATGACACAGAGTGTCTGTGGGATCTCGTTGTTGACGCTGGGAATCTTCTGAAGAAACACGGAATCATGCGTGTTATTCCGTCCAATTTGGATGTCCTGCGATCGAAAACGCCCCGCCTTTGGTGGACACAAGTTCCGCATTTCTGGCCAGAAGTTTATGCCGAAACGTCGAGACGAATCATCGTTGACACATCGATTGTGGCGACAACCAGAGGTCATAATCAACATCCTACCCGCGAGTTTAATTTAAGCGCGTTGCGTGACCAAGGCACATCACGGGCTGACTTTGTCAACGACGGGGAAGAAGGAGGGGGGTGGAGGTGGGGGCAATTTTGTCTTTATGAATTGACAATCGAGGCTGTGAAGTGGCCGGGCAGAGGAGAAGGGTGGTGCTGCTCTCTGACTATGAAAGTTTGATAAGGCATCCCAGCTGTACCCCAGGCGACCACGTGACTTCTTTGAGAGCTTTGATCACCCTCCTTGCAGTTCCCACCCACAAACCCGATCCGACACATCGAGGACAAGACGATAGCATGGCAACGAGAAGGGCTGTTTGATGGGGTCGTTGGTGGTGATGGTGCTGTGTGGTTTGGAGTCAGTACACCAGCGAGGAAGCGGTTCAGGATGGTACAACACGGAATGGCAAAAAAAGCCGCAGGGAGAATTTGCAGAACTTATTGTTACTCTCTCTCTCTCTCTCCCTTCCTTTACCCCACTTAAAAAAGGAAACGGCAGTTGTGCGATGCTAGTGACGATACGCGATAACGTGTAACACTGGAAGGGTGCGAGAAGGAGAGAGAGAAGGAGGGAAGAAAAGGGCTTTCTACGTGGAGTTTTTGTTGCTGCAGTTGCAAATTAGCGAAAAAAAGGTGCTGCTGGTGGTGGCGGCGGCGATGCCTGCATACCACCAGATTCTGCAAATTTGGCATTTAAATAGTGCGCGCTTGAACAAAAACCTGTGCATTAAAACAAAGGGTTGCTGCTGCTCTCCAAGTAGTTATAATCGAAGCACTCGGCAGTGGTGGTGGTGGTGGTGGTGGTGGTGGTGGTGGTGGTGGTGGTGGTG